AGCTCTTTCCTCTATTTCCTTTTACTTTCCTCCTGTCCCACTATCATGTTCCGCCTTCATTTGGGTTTCAGTAATTCCTCTCAGTTACGTTACCCTTGATCACGCCCTATCAGGCCTCCTATACCCTCCTCACCACCGATTTGGATCACCTGTTGTTTCCTTGTCCCTGGGTTTGTTAACACCACTTCCTTTCCCCCCACCTCCCCCTCTCCCATGCCCCCCGGAACTGTTTGTCCTTTGTTTTTTCCTCCTGATTGTTCATCCAGCCTATCTTATTTAGATAGACCTGCGGAGATAATAACATGCACAAAAACAAGACTGCACAAAACCAAGCAACAGAAGAAAACAAAACAACAAAAATCCAAGGACAAAACAGAACAAAACAAAAACCACAACACAACAACAAAAAAGAAAAGCTTGTAGTTAGTTCAAGGACTGTTTGTTGTCCTTTAGGAGCGTTTTCTGGTCGAGTCTGATGGGGTGCCAAGCTCTGACCCCAAAGTCTATTTTTGGTATTCCCTGGGGACTTGGTTGCTCTGTTCCTCTCGCTGTTCTGTTGTACACCTTTAGTGTTTTGCCTCGGTGTGGTGGCATCAGATCGGGCACATCCCCCACACTGTGTCACCAGTGCTGTCCCCACTTGATACAATTGATGTATGAATTGTTATAAGAGCTGTAAGATCCCTCAATAAGATGATCTTAAAATAAAAAAAAAGATTAGAATTAGACAAGTACCGGGAGATGAGAGTGAGAATGGTAAGCATTAGCATTGGCACTCTTGCATTTACCCAATTCATGTAGTCTAATTTCACTGTTTAATCAGCTAATTTAGATGATAATTGATGGTAGTGTTTTTATGAAAGCATTTCTTTAGAAGCTAAGATTAATATTTATGTAATTTCTGTTGGGAGGCTGAAAAACTGTGCTGCATAGAGAGATCACAGCTGCTTAGTGAGCCAAAATTTGAAACTTCTTCCACTTTAATCCAAAGACTATGTATTTGCCAACTATTTCTTTGGATGTATTTGATAGGAAAAGCCTTAGGCAATATTAATGAACACAACCAAGAGGAGCTACCACATGGGCTGGGGATTTGTTCTCGTGATACAGTAAAAACATACATAAAAGTATTTATCCTCAGACGTTCCTACTGGGCAGATTCAAGTTATCTATCTTTAGGTATATAGCAATTCCAGGAAGTACAATATTAAATGGGAAAAGCTAAGTAAGTAGCATATTTGGAATCTAAATATATGATTTGGTATATCTGAAGCAAATGATAGTAATCTTTTGAATGAAATTTTGTTGGTAGTATTAGAAACACCTCCCATCTGCCCACCCCCATTTTCACGTGGAATCAGTCACTAAGTTTTGATCATTTTTGCCTTCAGAATGTCTTTCTTGTCTGTTTTCTTCAAATCCATTGGCACTGGCCTAGTTACTGAAACACACCAATGTTGCAATCCAGTAGAGCCTCCTGTGTGTCCGATTAGAACTGTGCTCTGTGAGAGCGTTCAGGGGCTCTCGCAGAAGGGTAGCACCAGGCCTTTTTTTGAGCTATCTTTTGGTGGACTTGACCTCCAACCTTTTAATTAGCAGCCCAGTGCATTTGACCACTTGTCCCAGCCAGGGACTCTCATGTGGTTTAGTCTTCTATGTTGTCTTTGGTACTTGTAATTGGGTAAGTATTTATTAGGTATTTATTGCATGCCACAAACAATTTCCTTGTTTTGCTGTAAACCAAGGTCTCACATATGTATCATCAAAGCAGTCTAGTCGTGTGGAAGCTTGACTACAAAGGAAGACACTAGAATTTTCCTCACTACATGTTCAGTTACTCAGTTAGTGGCAACCATTTTCCCCTTGAGACTACTGGTATCCCTGATGTTTTTACTGGCCAGTTTGTTCAGAAGTAGACCACCAGCTTGTTTCCCTGGTCTGTCTGCTGAAACCTGCCCCCCATGGATGACTTGTTAGTAATCAAAATACCAGTTAAATACTGTGGCATAGCTTCCAGGATCACAGCAACACACACGCAATCACAATGTAATAAACTGACAGACTGAATCGGTCACTCCCTTCCTTAGTTGTGTGCCCATAGTAATTTGTTTTTAGTCTCAGTACAGGAATAATGCTTATCTTGTATTCTGATTAGTTGAGGATAAGATCTACATCTATATACATATTGTTGTTGGGATATCTGTGTATGTATTTTAATGTAGCTATATATATTCGAATAACTAGGGCTTAGTTAATGTAGTTCATTAAATGTACTTGGTCATTATTAGTGGATCTCAGGTCTGTTGACTTTAACATTGCTCTGTTATGCATCTGAGAATTTCAGATATTGTGGAGAACTAGGCTATGTGCTGTGTGTCTCACTCACAGTCGAGTCAGTGCTGGTTCTAGCGACCCTCTGTTGGTTTCTGAGACTGTAACTGTTTATAGGAGGACAAGCCCAGTCTTTGTTCTGCAGAGCTACTGGTGGTTTCAAACTGCTGACCATGAGGATCGCATCCCAACGTGTAACAAACACTACACCCACCAGGGCTCCTATATGTTGTATAATAGTGTAGTCAAAAGGAGCTTGAGTTCTGGAACTGATCCTGAATCTGCACTTCAGGTATGCAGTTGACTACACTAAATGACTATGGAAAAAATAATTTATCTTTACATTAAAATTTTCTCATCTAAAAAAGTGGAAATAAAGATAATAGATATTTTGTCATCTTCATAGGATTGTGTTAAGAATGAAATAAAATCACTTTTTATGAAAGTTCTCTCCACACTCTAAAATGCTACCTAAATGTTGCTTGCTATCAGACTGTCCTTATCCACTCACCCTATTGTTGTGTTTCTGTAGGCCACGGCACAGTGTGGCAAGTTTAGAGAGCATTGTAAACGAAGCTAAGAACATTCCAGCCTTTCTGCCCAATGTGTTATCCCTGAAAGAAGCCTTGCAAAAGGCACGAGAATGGACAGCTAAAGTGGAAGCTATTCAGGTAAGGGGACATGTTCCTACCTTTCAGATAAATGCCACCTCACAGATGAATCCTTTCACCCTTCAGGAATTTGAATAAATCACCATAATTAAATAATTACAATTCTACAAGTTCACCTATTTTCCCTTCCAATTTTGTAATTAAAAATAAATATTACCTATTGTAATATTACTTGTGTTGTGAAACACGTTGAATTGGCTATTTAACTCCCAACAGTAGGATTTTATTCCTTGCTTGAATCTCTATGTATGTAAATTACTTTTATAAGAAAGAGGCAGATAAAGGAAATGATGAAATGATCATTGTTGAAAACCACAATACTCATGGTACTATTATAAGTAGGGGGGGCATGTACTTGGTCATTATTAATGTACATCTTTATACATAAATATGAATAGGATATAACTTTGGTCCTCAAATAGTATATCCTCTACTTAGAGAGACATTTATATAATTCAAAGTGAAAAGTCTGAGGCAGAAGCGAAAATATACTTGCCTTTGTAGTATTTATCCTGAGTTATGAAAGGCCTTACAGGAGACATCATTCTGTTCAGGTAATGCTGTTTCACAGATGATTTTTAAACCTTTAATTAAAAAAATTATGTTCTTTAGAAGTTGTTGAGAATATACATCACATACACTGATTCAATAGTTTAAACATACATACTTTAGTGACATTTATTACATTTCAAAAAAATCATTTTATTGGGGGCTCATACAACACTTATCACAATCTATACATACATCAATTGTGTAAAGCACATTTGTACATTCATTGCCCTCGTCATTCTCAAAACATTTCCTCTCCACTTAAGCCCGTGGTATTTATTACATTCTTCAAGTGGTCCGACCTAATTCATTAGATTAAAATAACTATAATTAAATTATTATACTTTAGTTAAAAATAATTATAATTAAATTATTCACTTATCCTTCTATCCGGTTTTATAATTCAAAATCAATATTACCTATTCAGATAGTATTGTTTTATATAAATTGTCTTTACTGCAGAGCTATAGTCACAGAAAAAGGAAATAAACTTTTACAAACTGCTACCATAAGAAAGACCAGATTCTGTCTAGTCTGTATGTCTTATCTGTGACTTTTTTCTGGTTTTCTTGGACCTGCTTAGCTGCCCCTATCACTTTGTTTATATTTTTTAAGTTTGTCTTTTTGGTTGTACCAGGACTCATAAAAACCTCAAACTCACTGCCGTCGAGTCGATGCCGGCTCATAGCACGCCGACAGGACAGGGTAGAACTGCCCCTGTGGATTTCTACGATTGTAACTTTTTACTAGGATAGAAAGCCCTGTCTTTCTTCCAAGTGTAAGGATTATGTCGACAAGTATAGGTAGCTGTCATCTGTTTTCTGCTAGTGCAAGAACTGACTTGCAGGCTTTAAGTAAGTGAATAGGTTCTGTTGACAAACTTTAGGATACATGAGTTGTAAGCAAGCTGTGTCTGGGCTTAGCCAGAAAGTCTTCTGTATTCATAGGGCTATCCAGGCGTCTCCAATTTCTGACTTACATTTGAGTTACCATAAACCACTTTTAGGTTCTTTTTTTCTTTTTTAACCTTTTAAAAAATTATTAGTTTAATAAGTACTACATAGAATGTTAAAATATATCTTTAAGTTTATATGTAGTGTCTCCAACCCCCAAATGTAGTAAAGATGGAATTTATTAAAGATACTCATATAATAATGTAAACTTTAAAAAGAAAGATGAGGTATTCATAGTAGACTTAAGTCAGAACTGACTTTGACAGCCACCAAACCAGAACTCAGCTTAAGCCAGGGAATCCCTATAGTTGGACACAAGAGGGAATAATAAGTGTGGTATTTTATGCCAATGTGGATAGTTAGTGTAGTATTTTATGACATTGTTTGTTTCTGACCTTTCTTTTCTATCCCAGTTAGTCATCTATTCCTCTTAGTATCACAATGATATAATTGTATTGTTGGAATATCAAGTAGGCCTACAGAAGAGTCCTATATGGTATTAATGTCCTATATGGTTATGCGTTAGGCTGCTAACTATCAGCAGTTCAAAACCACTAGCCTTTCTATAGCAGAAAGACAGGGCTTTCAACTCCTGTAAAGAATTAGTCGTGGAAACTCATGGACAATTTTACCCTGTCCTATAAGGTTGCTGAATCGACTCCGTGGCAGTCAATTGGTTTTGAATAGGCTAGAAACTCATTATTCTTTTTAAAAATTCATTTATGTTTTTCTGCTTATTTTTTTAGACGCTTCCGTGTATCAAAATGAATTTACAGGCAGATGTATTAGATAACACATGGGAAATAACTTTATACTAGAATGTCAACATTTAGCACCTAACCCTATATCTTGCCTTCATAAAGCTCTGAATAGCAATGAATGTTATGGGAATATATACAGTTTCCTATAGGCATGCCTATATATTATGTCTGCAAGGAGACTTATTTAGTCAGAGCTTTCACTGTGAGTTATTGTAAAGTCTGTAGGCTGCCAGCCTGCTTCATGTGTTACAAGGCTGAATAGATTATATTAATATTCCTCTCACTTTCTGCTCAATTATTCAGCAAATTTAAAGTAATATGTAAGTTCTAAAAACAATGATGGCTTCATTCCATGGAAAAGTAGAAATATTTTGCCTTGAAAGAAAAATATTTATTCTCACTTCTGCTTATGCAACATAAAATTGAGATTGGTATTGGTACTGAAATACTGCTTTGCCGTTAGAAAAAAATTGTTAAAGATTTTGAAGTATGCAAAAGAGATTGCTGAGTTTTCTTTTAGTAGAATACCAGCTGTTGTCTAGCACACCCTCTGGGGTTATCTTATGTTATTATAAGTATGAATCTTTTGGATTTTCTTTGAGCTTTTCATAACTTTGACAGTTTTCAAAAGCAGTTTACAATAAGTAACAAATGAATCATGCTTATTGAAAGGCAGATGAACTTACCTGTAGTGATGCAGTTGATTATCCATAGAAAAGCTGTTTCTGAACATTAATTTTTATTGTCTAATGTGGTATTTAAAGGGCTCCTGGTGGCATCGGTGATATATTTGGCTACGAACCAGATGATCTGCAGTTTGAACCCACCCAGTGACTCAGGGAGGAAAGAAATGGAGCTCTGTGCCCATAAAGATTACAACCCAGGAGCCCCTTTGAGGCAGTGCTACTTGTTATAGGAGTTAAATCAACAAATACCAAGTGGCATAAAAAAACTCCCGGAAAAATGGACTTTGAAAGAGAATGGAATTTTCCCATTAAGGAAAAATTTCCATTTCAGGACGCCCCTCCCCCAATATGATATTAAATAGTTTGTAATCTATTAGTAAATTCATTTCTTCATTAAAAGAAATAATTTTGGGGACTTGCCTGTACAGTTCTTATAACAGTCCATACATCAATTATATCATGCACATTTATACATATGTTGCCATCATCATTTTTAAAACATTTTCTTTCAGACTTGAGCCCTTGGTATCAGCTCCTACCCTCCCCCTTTCTTCCCACCCTTGTGACCCTTTGGTAAATTATTTTCATGCTGTCTCCCTTCACGCATATTTCTGTTATTTGTCCCCCCGGGTGGGAGGGGGGTTGTTATAAGTCAATCATTGTGATTGGTTCCCCTTTCTTGCTCCACCCCCCACTCCCCCACCCCCGTCCTCCTACCCTCATGGTATTACTACTCCCATTACTGTTCCTGAGGGATTTATCTGTCCTGGGTTCTGTGTGTAGAGAGCTCTTATCTGTACCAGTGTACATGCTCTGGTCTAGCCAGATTTTTTTTTTTAAACATTTTATTAGGGGCTCATACAACTGTTATCGCAATCCATACACACATCAATTGTGTAAAGTGCATTTGTACATCATTCTCAAAACATTTTCTCTCCACTTAAACCCCCACATTAGGTCCTCATTTTTCCCCTCCCTCCCCGCTCCCCCCTCCCTCATGAGCCCTTGATAGTTTATAAATGGGTATTTTGTCATATCTTGCCCTGTCCGACATCTCCCTTCATCCACTTTTCGGTTGTCTGTCCCCCAGGGAGGAGGTCACATATAGTTCCATGTAATCGGTTCCCTCTTTCCTACCCATTCTCCCTTTACCCTCCCTGTTTCGCCACTCACACCACTGGTCCTGTAGGGCTCATCCACCCTGGATTCCCTGTATTTTCAGTTCCTATCTGTACCAGTGTACATCCTCTGGTCTAGCCAGACTTGCAAGGTCAAATTCGAGTCATGGTAGTGGAAGCGGGGAGGAAACATTTAGGAACTAGAGGAAAGTTGTATTTCTTATCGTTGTTACATCACACCCTGACTGGCTCGTCTCCTCCCCAAGACCCCTCTGCAAGGGGACCTCCAGTGCTAGCCAGATTTTTAAGATAGATCTGCGGTCATGATAGTGGGGGGCAGGAAGCATTAAAGAACTAGAGGAATGTTGTGTGTTGTGTTGGTGCTACACTGCACCCTGGCTGGCTTGTCCCTTCCTTGTGACTCTTCAGTGAGGGGATGTCGGAATGTCCAATTTTCTACCGATAGACTTTGGGTCTCCACTCCAACCTACCTCCTTGGCATCAGTGTGATTGTATTGAGTCTTGCTGATACCTGATCCCGTTGACACCTCATGATCACACAGGTTTCCCTGCTAGATGGCCACTTGTTTAACTTCAAGCTCTTCAGCTTTTTTCACCACATTTGCTTATGCACCCAGTTTGACTTCAGCGATGTGTCACAGCACAGACTGCAAGTTAGTGGAACAAAGTGCTCTGGCATCAAGGGAGGACTCAATGTCTGTCTGCTACCCTGCTACTTAACATATAAATATGTGTACATAGCCCGATATCCCTATTGTTGTTATTATATTTACATGTATACATGTTTATATTTATACCTCTAAATGTCTTTTGCCTCATAGTTCTTTCCTCTATTTCCGTTCACTTTCCTCCTGTCCCAATATCATGTTCGACCTTCATTCAGCTCTCAGGAATTCCTCTCGGCTACATTGCACTTGATTAAACCCCTCAGGCATTCTACACCCTCCTTGCCATCAATTTTAGATCTCTTTTTGTTCCCTTGTTACTGGGTTTGTTGACTCCACCTCCCTTTTTCCCTCCTCCCCCTCCCCCCTGTCTCCCTGAAACTGTTGGCCCCATTGTTTTCTTCTCAGGCTTGTTTATCTTGCCTATCATATATATTGATAGACATGGAAAAAAGTCTGTTGACCCTTAAGTATATTTTCTGATCGAGTCTGATGAGGTGCCAAGCCCTGTCCTCTGAGTCTGACGTCTGTTTTCGGGATTCCTTGGGGACTTGTTGCTTTGCTCTCCTTGCAGCTCTGTTGCACGCCCTTTTTGTTTCACCCTGGTGTGGGAGGGTCAGAGTGCTGTCCCCTGCAGCACTGGGGTCAGTTACGGGGACATCTCTATGGTCCTCTCTCTGCCTTAATTGCTCCTAGCAGGATGTCTTCCATGGGGCTTGGTGGCTAGAATGTAGTTCTCTCTCTCTCCTTACCTCTTAGTTTGCTCCTGTGTGGTCTGGGCAGACTTGTCACTGTCCTCGAGCTGTATCCATTTAATTATGCCATAATTCAGATTATTCCTTAAACCGAAATTTATATCTTACTAGCTTCTACATTAATCCATAATATAACATCTTTGACAACATGTTCATTTAAACTTTTTCATATAAACATTTTTTATAGGCACTGGAAATTATATTTGTAGAAGAGTTGCAATTCAGAGATAAAGAATAGCACTGAAAGAAAGGGCAGGAAAAAAGTACACACCCTAAATAGTCTTTGTATATTTTTCCAACAACATGTTGGCAGACTTCACGGAACAAGTGCAGTCATGTAAAAACGTGCTTTCCCTCGCAGAGCGGCAGCAGCTATGCTTCCTTGGGACAGCTCGAGAGTCTGTCTGCTAAAGGGCGCCCTCTCCCCGTGCGTCTGGACGCACTGCCCCAGGTGGAGTCGCAGGTCGCCGCTGCGCGAGCATGGAGAGAACGGACAGGGCGGACCTTCCTGAAGAAGAATTCCAGCCATACGTTGTTGCAGGTAAGAAATCATTTATCTCTGTGTACACACGATTCCACGGTCTCGTCAGCAGTTGATAATTTAGCACCTATAGGTGAGGATTATTGTCAGTTTATCTGGTTGGCAGGTTTTTAGGTAGGTGCTATCAGATGTTGATTGAAGTCTAAAGCCTTAAGCAGACTTTTATTGGGTTCATCATAAGCTGTGTCCAGAGAAGTCAACCAGGGTTATTTTTGTTTTTACTGAACTCTCACTGAGAGATCTTATTTCTTAGATTTCTTAGCACAAATGTAAATACCCATTTTTCTTTCATCTTGAGCAATTGCACTAATAGGAGCATAAGCTTTGAAATAATATAATTTGAGGACAAGTTTCCTATTTGCTAACACTGTGTCCTTAGTTGTTTCTTTCTGACCCTGAGTTTCCTTGGTTTGTAAATTGAGGATCATAATGCAAACTTGGGAGCCCTGGTGGCTCTGCTGGGTAAGTGTTGGGCTGTTAACTGCAAGGCTGACTGTCCAAGTCCAACAGCCACTCCTTAGAAGGAAGATGAGGCTGTCTGCCCCTATGAAGATAAGTAGCCTCAGGAAAGGGTCACTCTGTTGGAATTGACTCGATAGCAAGGGTCTAATACCTGCTCCATAGGCTTGTTGTGAAGAGTATACACAATTATGTGTATGAAGTGCTAAGGAGAATTCTTGGTACCCGGCGAGTGCTTCATAAATGGTACTTCTTTTTTCCCCAATCATTTTATTGGGGGATCATACAAATCATCACAATCCAAACATACATCAATTGT